TTCAATCACGATAAAGCGTTCATTCTCTGGAGTTTTATCTGGCAGATCAAGAACATCTTCCTTGATGAATTTCTATAGACATAACGTAATTAAGTAGAAGAACATCTTTTGCTGCCAGCGCTTGAAATCAATCCCGGAAAATTTTCCGAATTTTTCTGCCGGTGCCAACGCCGGTGTTCGGCTTGTCGATGCGTTGGCAGTCACCGTCGGAACAGCGTAGTTTTCGCTTTCAGTCGTCATTTTTTATGTAAAAGAATGACACAAACAAACGTTTAATACACGTTTTCAAACTGGAGTAAAAAATCACGTAGATTTTAATCTCCAACAAAACGCCACGAAGGCTTTACTCTCCAAAACGGGAGTACACAAAACCACAAAGGTTTTAATTTTCAGAATAATAAAAATATCTTTCTTCAACAGCTGCTGCACATATATATAGCAGCCAGCTTTGAAGATGAACGAAGATGAACGACCCTCCACCATCCATGGTGGAGCATGCACTAGCTTGTTTTTGGAGCAAGCACTTGGCCATGGCGGGAAGAGCATTAGGCGGCTGCTATTGCAGCTGGTAGTCAATACAAATGCGGATAATCTTACGTTAATATTTACTATTAACAAATAAATTTGGTCCAAAAAATTAATCAATCAATTGTCCGAAGCCGAAGCCGAGCCGAGCGACGACGACGGCGACGACGCGAGGCTTGCTTTCTTCTTAACTCTTTAAGAGCTACAAGAAGAGTAATTATATATATATACCCACTAAAAATCTTTTCCTCTTCCAATATGGGACAATGTTTTATTGTCAAGAGGGGAAAACTTAAAATTCTACTCAAAAAATTTCATTTTCCCTTCATTTCTCATTCACCCTCATTTTAATACTATTTCATCTTAAATAACAAAATCCTCAACAATGGTCACGAGAGCGGCATTGATGCTACCAAATGGAGAGTAAACTTATCCTATTTAGTCGAAGGACAGTTCGTCCATTTCCGAAAATCTAAAACCTTATTTGGTTTAAGTCTATAGAAGTCTACTTTATATATATATATATATTATTAACTCCATCGAAGGATATTCATATTTTCTTAAATATGTGCAACTTATAATCTTAAAAAATAATAAAATTATCTTTTATAATAGATAAAGATAACTTAATAGTCTAAAAAATATTTATCCTGATTGTATATAATTAACCTAATCACCTTACCTGTTGGCCTTTCCCAAAATAAAAATTCAATACAACCTTTCCAATTTTAAATTGACATCAGAACCGACTTTTGCAGTAATAGTATGGGGGGGAGAGAGAATCCAAGGAACTTTCACATGTATTTCACTCATTGGGTACTGAAATACAGAGACCAAAGCCAGAACAAAGTCCTTAAAATACGTGGACGCTTTCCATACTGAATATCCTATAAAAACGACATTTGTCCATCTTTATCACCACTATTTCGGTCCCTTTTTTAGAAAAAAAGTGTCTAAAATATCTTGAAAGTGCTAGAAATGGAAGATAGTTTGACTGATATTCCAAACTTGAACGTCTCTAGCTCTGGAGATCAAGAAGTGGAAGAACAAATTCAAGAAAATGTTGGAGAAGTCAGCGAAGAGAATAAAGATAGCAAAGGAAAAGAAGAAGGTGGGCTTATTAATCATTTAATTTCCAACATAATGAGCCCTAGAGCAGGAGATGAAGAAGTTGAAGAACAAATTCAAGAAAATGTTGGAGAAATCAGTGAAGAGAGAAAAGACAGCAAAGAAGGTGGGATTATTAATAATTTCATTTCCAACTTAATGAGCCCTAGAGCAGGGGATGCTAGCAACAAAGGAAAAAATAATTTCTTTGATGTTAAAGATGAGGATAATAACAAGGAAGATAGAGCTTCTGAGCAAAGTGGTAATAATTATGGCAGTGGAAGTGGAGGGATAATCAACAATTTCATCTCCAATATTTTTCATCCAACTGAAAATGCTGTTGAGATCAACCAAGAAAACAGCAGTAGAGAAGGACAAAAAGGTGGGGTGGTTCAAGAAAATGAAACTGCAAGTGTTTTAGATAATATTGTTTCCCACTTGCCAACTCCTCTTGCAGGTATGTTCATATTTTCATCTCATTTTTTGGTCTTGATTATAGTGTTTAATTTTAAAGAATTGTCAGCGTAATTATGTAACTTCGAGAACAAGGCAAGCAACCTGCTATAACAAGTTATTTTTGACTGATATTATAAAAATTTGCCTACATTTAACACTATATCTATCAAACTTAAATCCTCTATGTATTTGGACCGACAGTATAAAGATTCAAATGAGTTATTTTTTTTTGTTTGTTTGTTTGAGAGCAGATGATGCAGTTCCGGCAACAGATGAGGCTTCAATACTGATTCATTCAATTGTTCATGACTAGGGGAGATATAGTGTTTCCTATGTACTAAAAATTAGGCAACAAAAGACGGTGCTGAAGATCATTTAGTCAAATGTTCAGTTCCATTCGTGTGGAGAAGAATGTGGTGTATATACGTTTTTACTTTTTGTGTAAGTTTTGATCTGCAATCTCATTGATATTTGTGGTTGTTAGTGCTGAGAAGAGATCAGAAATGAGTCAATGACTGCTCCTTTGTCTTTTTATTTTGTTCTCTATATATATACTAGTAAGGATAGCACGGGCCCAATAATAATATGCTCGGGAGTAGAGCTAAAGTTAATTAAGCTAAAAGAGATCAATTGCACCTATTTAGGAAACTCGGTAATGAAAATTCAGTTTTAGTAGTCTATAAATATCAAAATTGCAAGTGAAGATACACGCATAAATACAAAATATTCAGCAAAAGTCCACTCTTGTAAAGAGCTAACCATATCAACAAAACCGAATAATCTGCGAGCTACAAATGTAGAGCAGTACCACTAAGTCCCAGATAACAGCTGAAGATATAATAAAGGAAGAAAATTTCAACACGACAATGCCTAAGGAAGCAGAAGAATAGAGTTTCAACAAGGAAGGATCATGTTTTCTGATTTAGTCTATTAATCAACACTTGTTGTTCATATTTTCGAATTCTACACTATTGTAAAGTTAGTAGCTATTTCATATTTGATACAATTGATTTAGATCATTTCATCTACTTATGAGAATCAAGAATGCTATTTCAAATTTTCTTTGATTTCAATGTTTAACAGGTCAACCAACTCATAAACAGTGATAACAAATTCATCAGTCACTTGAAAGTTGAAGCAAAGAAGAAATCAGAGGATGAAGCAGAAGGAAGACAGAGAAAAAGGCAATATGTTGGACATTACCTGTACTCCGTCATAAGTTATCAGAAGATGCGTTGAAACTCTTTGGCCTTTAGCTTCTGTCTGAAAATGTAGCTTTGACAAACACACAAATATTATACAAATAAAAAATCAAGGTAGCTAAATCGGAAGGAAAAGTGACCACTTTTCTTATCTGTTTATTTGCACTTTTAATATAGTCTAGCTTGTCGTTGTCCATGTATAGCCCGTCGCACAATGACATAGTTTGTATAACATAAACTTTAAAGTATTTACTGATGCTCAGTAATAAATACTTCAACTAAGGAAAAAAACTTATTTATCAATATTTTAGTGGTAAGAATTGTGTTTAAACACTGTCAAAGATTTTTATAACTGAACTAAAATTAAAAATATGTAAATGATACATGTGTAATTCTTTTGTAAAATAGTAAGAGTAGACATCAGTAGTGTAAAATAGAACACTATGTGATAAACGTAGTAAAATTTTGGAAACGTACATGCATCCTAATTATAAGATATCGCTACACAATATCTAGAGGCCGCTCCAATATCCAAAAAGTAATACCAATTGCCGTCTCAAACATAGACACACACTATCGACAACTATTTACGCAAAAAAATGTGGAACACTTTGTTAAGGCGGCCAACTATCTAAACCTTGTTAAAAGATCAGTACGATCTGTCAAAATGTCTTTGTACATCGCATACCATCTGAGCGGACATCATTGGCTCGACAAACTGTACAAATAAAATATTCATTTTGAGAAAATTAGTAGATGGTAAAATATGGTATTTGAATTTCTAACCTTGACTGTGGCTTTGGTAGAGTACTTGGTTCCCTTTTTCGTTTCTTAGTTCCTTTCACATCACTCAGGAGTATTGGCTCTTCTTCCATAGTTCCCTCGGCATCAGTCATAGATGTTGACTCTTCTGGTAGAAACATGGTTGGTTTTTCAGTGTATGATAAAAGGACCAGAGAACTTGCATTTTTGTCTGGTGTTCTGGATGATGACCTTTGTAGCTGAACTCTGAATAGTTTATCTGCAAGTTGTCGATTGATATGGGCAACAGGGAATAACTCGTTCTGCAAAGAGATAGTAAAAACAATGGATATGTCAAAGCTTACGTTTATGTGTTAAGCGTGAGAGCATTATATTAGCTTTGTTGGCTTATGTCAACTGTAGCATTGTATGTGTATGTACCTTAACAGTGACGATATCATATATTTGTTCAGCTCTCATTGACAACATTCTTTCGCCCAAGCCTTCAGACACTGTTGTTGTAGTTGTGCCAGTTTCGTCTGTTTTAGTTGAGGTACAATTGATGGCACACAATATCAAATACTGTCAATGCATCATCTTATTAGTAGCAGTTGTTACCTTGGAATTAACATTCCTTGCAGCCTGTAGTTTATGCATTGAATCTCTCTTTTTATTTTGCTCCGAACAAAATGATTACATTCAGAACAACCTAGCAGATAAAATCGTTGAAAATGGTCAGGTAGCGAAATTTCTCCTTCGACGTAAAAAATTTCCGCCTGCAAAATATAAATGATAAAATAAGTCGTTAGCTTTATGTTTATAACATAAGTAGTGGAACATGCTAACTCATCAATTGTTAATTGCATATAACTTTCAGCAATCAAATAATATAAAGTTGCATAGTTAGTAAAACCTCATGAGAAGTGTGTTGTGACAGTAAAATGTAAAAATTAGTTAACTAATTTTATGTAAAACTAAGTTGAAAACTATTCTGCTTGATATTAGAATAGATTTCTTTGAATCAACGGCCTCTTTCACAAATATTAACATGACATAGGATACAAATAGGATGTGATATAGTGACCAAACTTTTAAAAAAATATTTCAGAATAAATTTAATTGTGAAGCGAACAATATATAACTTTAATGTAAGAGTTTATTCTAGAAGTTTATAGTCTAATATTATTTAAACTATATTATTACTGAGACAACACGAACAGTAGAATATTAGAACATATTGAACAGTTATCCACATTATATAAAACATACGCAATTGCGTAGTGCAGTGTGGCAGTTTTTGGTATTTTCTTGAACTCACAGTGGAGGTTTGCATAGCGATAGTTGAAACAGATAATATTTCATCGTCAACAACTACAAGATTAAGTGATGAAGCTGATTCCGTTGAACTCTTCATTGTGTATTCGATTAGCATTTGTTTATTCTCATTTGCCCTGTAATTCGCACGGAAAATCTCAGACAATTGATTTTTCACAGAAGTAACAATAGTTAAATAATGAATGATATGGTACATTTTAAGCACAATTTGTATTGTACCAATTCCGTAATTCAGTTGCTTGCACATACAGGGGATTGATTAAGTCGAGTTGTATCTTGTTGCCAAACGGAAAACTGTGTATGCAAATTTTGTTAATAAATAACAGGGAAGCATTATCCATGTGTAGAAACAGGAATTTCATAAGCTTGCCACCATGGTATTTTTTGGTAGCTATATGTATCGCGACAATAACAGGGTATTCTTGTAGTTGCCTTACTTGTCTCAGTAACTCAGTTCCTTCATTGCTTGCCAAGTCTTCCCATATAGTGAAGAAAAGAGGTTTCTTCCTGTTATATTTATAAGTGTCAGCTAGAGATTTTATTATGTAATAGAAGATTAAATGACTCACTTGTTGTCCATAACTATGGCCTCTTGAAATCTCTTAGTCTGATCAGCGGTGTATTGCATTACCCCACAGTTTGCCACCATAGCTAATAGATCTATTGTTATAAACAGAAAATAAATATTTGCATTCACCATGAGTTCCAAGCAATTAAGTTGTTATAAGGCATAGGGCAACACCGCAAGGCTGTTGTTCAAGATCGAGGAACGAAAATGTACTCAGTCTCGACGGAGGAGGTAACAGTGCCTCATTTTTATTATTCTTTGGAATAGACTCCACAATAGTGAATCTGTCGACGACCCATTCAAACTGGTTGATATGTAGTGAATAAGGCTGCGTATTTCTAACTTTTGCAGTTGAAATGAGATACGTCTCAAAAAGTTTGAACAAGTTATCACATCGTCTAATGTCGTCACCATAGAGTATTACACCAATTTGTTCCTCCTACAATGTTATTAAGAATAATAATGCAGTAATTATTGGAAGAGTACAAGTGAGAAGATGTTATGTTACAATTATAGTTGTAACCTGACTTACGTTTTCATCCTGGACAATTATTGTCTGAAAACGAACTCGCTGATCTCTGCTGTCTCGCGGCCGAAATTTATCTACAGTCTGGACTTTGCAAGTCCATTCTGTAGTTAGTGGTATGATTTCACTGATACTAAGTCTTTATTCTATTTTATCAATATAACCTGCATATTGATATCCGTAAAATTGCAAGAACAAACTATCCCACATTACAAATATAAGGCAGCAAATAAAGAAAATAAAAAAGAAGTAGATATAAAATTCATGAGAGAAATTCAATATTAATTACAACCCAGTTGGAGAAAGACTGTTATTCCATGAAATACATTGCAAGTATGAGTACAAAGAAAGCTTCCACTCTGATGGGGATTTCATTTTAGCAGGGAAACTATTTCTACCTTGTACTTGTAAATTTTTTAAAAGTTATTTCCGCTCTGCTCCAATTCTGTATCACTTACTCGTATAACATTTGAATATATTCATACTCCACTTGCACATTGGGATAGTTGCAAGCAAAGACACATTATATGCTTTTACACAATGAGCTCAGAATTCGCATTTTCTGATAAAAAGAAAAGACAATGAGCTCAGGATGACCTCCAAATCATTTTTCGTCAATGAACATAAATCTCAGCTTTCTACCTGCTCTTTTCATAAACTAAACAAAACTTAGCTTGGTAGAGAAATCCCAGAGCAAGCATATCAATACCCTTTCTTCTTCATACATAAGAAAAACTTAATATTTAAATTATCCATCAAAAAAGTTTGCATACCAGTATGTTCAACATTGCTATTTTAAACTTTTATAACATTGAAGAATTTTGTCAAACACCTAAACAACAAAAATCATTGATACTCAATAAAAATACAGATAAAGATGAATGAAAGAGATGTTTGAAGTGATACCCACCATAAAATAAGATCGATGGAAGAAAACACAATTCAAACTTAAGATCAAGAGGAGATAGACAACAGATGTTTTGGAGATGGCATTGGAGACGTGTTAATTCTCCCAAAAGTATTAGATTGAGATGAAAAACCAAGACATAACCCTGGTTAAAGAGAATGAAGCCACTAAGCATACACTCGGCAATATATACAGGAACCTGAAATAAGCATAAACATGAGAAACAACAAATTTGACACTTTTAACATCTCCAATAACTTATACAGTGTAACAAAGAAGAGAATTAGCAAACTTAATGTTTACCGTGTGAGAGATTAAGATGAATCAAATAGATGGTAGAATAGATACCCACAGAAAAAATACAATTGACGGAAGGAAACACACTGAAGTGCAAATTTGACAACAAGAGGAAAGACGGAGAGCACATATGTTCTGGATTTTTCTTAGTTCCAGATCTTCACGGTTGTTCGAGATTTAGCCGAGAAACCAGCAGTGCTTCCACGCGTTAAAATTGAAACTCCACGTGTTAGCTGTGAAAGTTTTGAAATGACAGAAGTATCCTCACATTAATTTTAATTTCTTTGTTCCTTTTTTTGATTGTTACGAGTTGAATATAGGTAATTACATTTGAGTTAGCAAGTGAATGATATGTAGCTTATGTATATTCTTAATCTATTGCTGACTGCACTATAAGGACCCTATAGCCAATCATCCTAAGGTGCCCTATACCATACATTTATATGATATTTTCTATTATATTATCCTAATGATGTCCACTTCAAGTAATCAAACCTTTTTGAATTGTAGATTTATCAATATACTGGGGAGGAGTCACTTAACCACTCAAACAGTACCAAATGAAAAAAGAGAGGAAAAGAAAGAAAGCTGCTGCATTATTGAATTTTGTGAGGACCCTCTATAATAAACAATGTTATCGATAACTCCAGCTATAAAATGTAAGCCTA